ATCAACCACATAGCCTTCTCTTTCGCTGTTTGCTGCCTCTTGGTTTATTGTATAATGCATTGTGTCTAACAACGGCTGTGGCACATTATCTTCCGGTAACTCATTGATGTTCTTCAGATCAATAGTGATATATTTGTACAATTCATTATTGCTCTTCAACCACGTCAATGAATCAAAAATGTTTTCTCGTCGTACAGTAACAACTTTTTACAGATGTTCTGGCTTTGGTCGTTTTGAACCAACAAAAATTATTTTGATTGTGTCGCATAAATCTGCTAAATGGGAGTGTTGTTGCAATATTGGAAACACTTTGCGGGAATGAAATGACATTTCCTTTAAATGCGCCCTGTGCTGTTGATGTATCATGGAATGGTGTTTGAAGTTTAATGACGCAACTGTTGCGTCTGTATAATGCAATTAGTTTTTGTTCGGAAATGGTTAGATCTTCAAGTTCTTCTGGTATTGTCCCAATCCACATTTTATTTGCAGCGGAAAACTTCGGAATTGTTGGTTTCCTTTTGTTTGATAGAGAGGGCCAACAAATCGAACAAATGTTGCACTTTGTGCTTTCATTTATCGTTGGAGGTTCTCGGTTCTTCAGCTCGATCCCTCGGATATATAATGCAGCTTGGCTGAAGAAAACCAAATTACCTTAAAAGAGAAAAACCGTTCGAATGAAAACCAGCTAGTAGAGGTAGAGGAGAAAAACTGTGCCTCGTTAAAATTTTGTGTTTGTATCGAGTGAACTTACCTGAACTCTTACGTGCACCGGATAAATTCTCAGCCGGTATCAAAACGTTTAAATTGGGTATGGTAGACAAAGCTTCATACCTCTGAGGTATGAACAGGTATTACGGATTGAGCAAATGGCTTCGACTAACCTGGGCATAGACATATTTTCCACAAAATTGTGTAAGCAGTGTAGCTTTAGCGCACGAGGAACTGCGGCCGGCCAACATGCACGTTGTTCCATATTCAATATCCGTATTCGGTGTACTAGTTCTGTTTCTTGTGCTCGCGACACACGTTTTCGTTCGCGATCTTCCTGTGTACGTTTCTCATATTGATCATCGTCTTCGCTTTGACGCAAGATACCCATATGTTTTCGAATTTGTTCTGTACGTTTCGCATATTGATTATTGTCTTCGTTTTCTCGTGACAAACGCTTTCGTTCACGATGTTTGTCTTGCCGACTTTGGTTCCATGCTAGTGTTTGTATATATGATGTTGTCTGTTGCTGAAATGTGCGATTGCTTGGTGGAAGTGTAAATTGTGGAATGCGAACCGACTTTTGTTGATTATTTTTGTTTGTATTTTTTTCAGGTGTCTGGAAAAGAGAAATAGAAGACTAAGAATACCATGGAAGTTTGTTATTCATGCTTACTTTATTTTCAAATTGTTGGTGAGTACTGCTGGGGGTGATTAGAATGCTTGAAGTTGTAGCAAATATATTGTTAAGAGATGGTTGAAGAACTAGCGGTACAAAATGATCCGGAATCCAGCCGCCATTACTTTTCTTTCTTGCTTCTTGTTCATTCAGCTTGTGACTTCACATGAAAATGATTTTGGTTGATGGTGGCGAATGGTAATACATAGGGATCATTGTTGTGTTACACACACATCGAAATATGGATGATATTGAATTCTACGATAAACACTCTGTATTTGACATTGAAGAATGTTAGAAACGGCATCGATTTCGAACAGTTCGGAAAATTCAAAATTCTTGCACATTGCGTTGATACGTTTTAACGGACCAACAATTCTTTCATATTTAATGTTGTAATAATTGTAATTCATTGCTAATTCAACGGTGGCACGAACTCGCAATTCTTTGGCTGTAATCTCAGATGGGGACGGCATTAATGTTAGAATAGAATTATACAAACAATTTCCATTACCAGTAGACTCAATGGGAATAAGATCTAGTAAATTAGAAAGGTTACATTTTGACAAGTAAACTCGTGCCACTGTATCACGTTTGTGTAGACGAGCATCAAAATGTGTTGTGGGTGTATACGACAACGGTGCCATTTGTATCGTTAATCTTTGGATGCGTGTTGCGATGGTGAGAATCTGATTCTCTGCGTGATAAACCACGACATTTGGTACAGACTTCGGCGTTTGTGGCCGAACCGCATAAGGCACAGGACATTTCCATTGTATAAGTTCAGATCTCTATGATGATTAGTATAATAATTTTGTTAAATGCTTGTTTACTAAATTAGACGTGTTGAAATATTTTAAGTCGTGGATTACAACGGTAGATGGCTTTTACAGCGCTGAACGTTATTACCGACGATAATTCTTCGAAATCTGTAAAAAATAATAGAAAGGTTACAATACGTTCTTTTTGAATGCTTAAACGATTGAGCAGGGAAAAATATATAATTCAGAGAACATTGATAACATCGTGTTTGATAAAAGATACACTATACGTGTATAACAAATTTGCGTGATATCAATATCAAAGTTATGCAGCAGAGAAGTAATAGAACAATTAAGTTTTCTGAGATTGTTAAGGAATATCAATCGAATAGCCAAATTTGTAATCTTTAATCTAATTAAATTGCAATCTATGTATTCTAAAGATAATTCTTCTATTACTTCTCTGTTGCATAACTTTGATATTGATATCACGCAAATTTGTTATACAGGTATAGTGTATCTTTCCTCTTCGTTCTTAAAAAATTAATTCAGACATTCTACTTCTAGAAAAAAGATTACTTTGTACATTTTGTTTTATTCAATCATTAGTCACGAAAACGTTGACCGTGTATTCGTTACGTCCTCATATGACACATGCCTATTTTCTTCGTGTGAGGCAATGGTACAGAAGAGGTTTTCAGTTTCTCAAACCAGTTGCGTTTCATATGCGATATCTACGCCGCGCAGCAGCTCGCAACGACTCGGACTATCTGTGTACGAAAACTAGTTTTAGCAGCAGCTTGATATTCGGACTATCTGGTTTCCAATGAGGAACAAAAGCAATTGAACGAGCAATACGGTATAGATGAAGAAGAGCTGGATGATATTCTGTAACCTGATTGGAGAAACAACTGAATAAGGCAAAACAAAAGGCCAGAGAGAAAATGCTAAATGGTGAAGAAGGAGAGCATGAAGACCAAAAGTTTGCAGAAGCGACGAATGTAAATCGAAATGTGGTAGACCTAGATGACGAAAGTAATATTCAATCACTAACCGAACAAGTGACAAGCATCACAGCCATGTCGTTTCGGAAACACCAGGAACGAATATCCAAACAATTCACGCTGAACGAAGCTCAAACTCGCGCGTTTATGATCATTACCGATCATATCAATGGAGACAACCACTTGAAAAAAGGTAACATTTAACCTTGCTGTTTCTGATCTTAACTATTTGTATCATCTTGTACTTCAGACAATAAACAAGATCAGTTATGTGTGTACCTGGTCCGGATGACACATGAAAATCTCAACTAATTCATGCAATTAGAGAATATTTTTCAATAACAAAACGCAGTCATGAACTACGAAAACTAGCACCAAAATCGAATGCTGCAGCCCAGATTGACGGCCTCACAATTCACTCTTTCACATCATATAGAAATCTAAAAACGATAAGCGCAGCTCAACGAACAACGATCGAAAAGGCACGGCGACATGTTCGATATATAATTATTGATGAGATGTCAATGGTGGATGTTTACTTATTAGGACAACTTGATGGTTTGTTGACGGTAGCCAAGCACTGCAGTCCAAGCATACTATTTGGAGACATTAACGTCATATTCTTTGGAGATTTCATCCAGTACGATCCTGTGGGAGACCAATCATTGTATTCCGACATTATTTCCGATAAAACACAGAAGAAGAAGAATATCAGAGAGACACGTGTTGCTACATGTGCATCGGGACGAGCACTATGGGAACAAATAAACACTGTAGTAAAGTTAGAAAAGCAGATGAGAACAAGTGACTCAAGATATCTGCAACTTCTTCAACGTCTTCGGAAAGGCGATGTACAGTTGATGATCATGAATTACTGACGACACGAGTTATAGATCCAAATCACGAAGTGAAATCTCTCGACACAGATGAATGGAAAAAAGCACCGATCCTCGTCTTCAGAAATGAATTACGAACTGAATTGAGCATTCTAGCTACCGCGTCCGAAGCATTTGAAAAGGATGTTAAGCCGTTGGTATGCATTGCTCAAGACGAATTCAAAATTAACATCAACAATCCGGATTTTCACAAATACCTCCTCGAATCACTAGATAATAAAACCAAATGGCTACCTGGATACTTACCGTTAGTTCCGGGCTTGCATGTTCTATGGACGGAAAACATAGCTACAGAATTAAAATTATGTAATGGTACAACGGCAGTATTTCGTGAATCAGTCTACGAGCAAGCGCATAACAATCTCAGCAACCTGGATACAACAAAGTTTCCAATACAATCCATCTACATCCCAAAACCATTGTATGCGCTAGTAGAAATAGAGAATTCAAGAACAGACAAACTGTTTGATACACTTCCTCCGAAACTCATACCAATTCCTCCTGTAACACAAAAGTTCATGCTGAATATCAAAGGTTTCCTGGAGAAACATAAACATGAATTAAAACAAGGTGGAAGAAAACTGAAAAGTCACAACCTTACAATCAAAAGAACACAACTACCACTCGCGCCCACGTATGCTATGACCACCCACAAAAGTCAAGGACAAACGATGCCCAAAATCGTTATCGATCTTGTCTTTCCTCCGAGACCATCCAAACCTTCCGTTGCACAAGCCTACGTACCGCTATCGCGAGTGAAGGAATTAAAACATTTAGTTATTTTAAGAAAATTTCACATTAAGAACATACAAATCCAACCGAACGAAGAGCAGCTGCGAGAATTAAATCGACTCGACGCATTAGAGAAGGAAGCCAAGAGGGGATATGAACTGAAATCTTCCATTTTTTAACTTTTTTCGTTCCTTGTTTTGGCGATATTTATTTTTGTCCAAAACTCGCGAAAGTCGACGTAGTAGTGAAAATTGACAATCAGCAACGATCTAGTCGAATCGACCGGGTCCGCTGCTTCTGTGCTTCCAAAATTCTACCACCGCTATACATAAAGAAATACCCTGACATTGATCCGCGGTAACTCGTGTACCATATTTGTAAATAAGCCGTTCAATTACATTTCAGACTTTTTTAATTTTTCTGTACTTTTCTTTATTAGAATTAAACATGAGTGTTAATTGTCAACTATTAAAAGAAATTTAAACGAAATCTCTTCTTCTTATTTCGCTAGTGTACACAAGAGGTGTACACAGGGCAGGATGATCTGCCATACCCTGGAGGCAGCACAAGGCACGAAAAAAGTTGTAGCCTGCCCGGTAGGTCAGCAGGGCAAGGCAGGATACCAAAAGATATTTTTGTCCTGCTTTTCCTTGTGCTAAAAATAAGGCCGTTTTATAACGCCTTTAAAAGAGAAACGTCAGATAGTGTTGATGGAGTAAAGTGCTAGTTAGTGTGGCCTGTTTCTCAAAAAAGCTTAAGTATTTCACTCAAGTGGATTTGTAAGGGAAAAATTAAACAGTACTTAAGGGACACCTAGACTTCTCATTGAGTGCGTTTCTCAAAAAGCTCTAAAACCACTCATATTTTAAGAAATTTAGATTATTTTTATGAAATTTTTTGAACAAAACCCTCCTAAAATTATTTTCTATCTAATTATTGAGGGTCTGACCATAAAGAAATGTAAAACAAAAAAGTTACAAAGTATAAATAATTTTTCACTTAAAAAATTAAGTGAAAATTTAGGGGTGGTGAAGACGTCTCTTAAGTTAAGATGCTTTCCCGAAACTCACGTAGCAAAAATATCTTAGTTAAGCCAAATTTTTCACTCAAGCAAAGCTGAAGTTTTTCTGAGAAATAGCCTCCTGCTTGTTCTTCTCTGTGCTGTTGTTGTTATGGAAAAACAGTGTTTGTTTCTTATGAAAAGAATAAAATTAAGTCGATAAGATTTGAAATAAGAAAGGTGTGTTTTTTTAACTTTGTCAAGAAAAAGATAAACATCTGGTATTTATCATGCAGCATAGGAAGAAATTTTTTTTATGAGTCACTCTTTTAGGCAAGATAGGATCGCACAGGCCAGGACGGCAGAACAGGTCGAGAATAAGTGCCCTGTGCACAGCTGTGGTATACACTAATTGGTTTATCTACTCCAAAAACATTTTCTCAAATATCTTTTATGCTATTCTTTTTCTACATATTTCTATTTGTCTTCATTTATATAGATTATCTATATAGATTATCTATATTATTGAAAGAAAGAGGATTTGTTTCGTTTTTCTTTTCTCATTCGCACTACAAATTGTCAGAACTAGTTGTCAACAGACAGTCAATCATATATCAGACTTGTTATGACAAGCGATATGAATCTGTGTATAAAACTAATGCAACTTAAAGTTATGTGTTTCAAAACTATAAATGCTCGATGCATTTGCCTAGTCCACTTCATTTGAATTTTTTTTCGACGAGTACTAGCAACGAAACAAGACAAGTAAGTGTCATTATTGTTTTTTTCGAATACAATCAAACTATCTCTTTTGTTCAACGAGCCGAGCGATAATGACTCGCGTGCTCTCTTTAAATTTTATTTCAGGAACTGACTTGGGTTCGACCTTAGTAAACTGCTACGGAGAGAGACATTTCTAGGAAGAGTAGGCCAACCCACCCAATCACTTGTCGCTGAAATGCACCCAATGTAAAACAATGCTATGTCATGTAAAAGGTTGCTAGGTATATGCAAAAGGACCGGCTCTTTCAGAATATTACGTCAAAACTGTATATGACTGTATTAAATTGCCGAAAAGTCAAATTCATTTCGAAAATGCTGCAAATTCTTCTACTATTTACAAAGGATTTCTAAGTCACTCTTTTAGGAAGGATAGGACCGCACAGGCCAGGATGGCAGAATAGGTCGAGAATAAGTGGCCCGCAGCTGTGGTTTACACTAATAGTATGTTAATCATAAATTAATACATTATTAAATCAAATTATATAATCAGAAAAATCACTCTAAAACACATGACAATCAGTCATCTTCTACTATTTTCTGTATTCGGCATCATCGGCATCATATTTCTTTGGCTCTGGCTTTTTTTTCAATCCACATCTTATCAGACATTCTTCTACTCCCAATGCCACATTAGCTGGTATCGCACTTTTTAGTTGTTCAAATTCTTCAGCTGAGAGCTCGCCTCCCAATGATGCTTGAACAATATCGGCTGGTAATTGTCCAATAAATGAATTTGCGATTGTTAATACACCTGGATCTTCATGATTAAATGCAGCAACAAATTTTGCAGGCTTACAGCCTATGTTTTGTTCAAAATGAATGGCACCTTGGGGAAAGACCGTTGCTTGATTTGGCTTAAGTTCAGTCATAATAAATGTGGCACCATTCTCTTGGAAAAAGCCAGCTCTCAATGTGCCATCGACGGAGAAATTAATTTCTGTTGCACGTGGATGTGTATGCGGTAGATTCAAACCACACGGCCCGAGAAAGCCGACGGTCATGGCTACACCATGATTAATCAAAATTGGAAAATTACGTGCCTTAAAAAGCAGCAAAATGTGATTTTAAACAAAACCCGAGTAGAGCAGGAGAAGATTCTTCTTAATAAATCTTTTATATACTACGAAGGAAAAGGAAAAAATAAAAGGTTTATTAAATACTCTCAACTTCGTACACAGTAAAGCGTAAAAAGCGCCAGATTCTTCTGTGGCAGCGTGATATCATAACGTTTTTTAGGTGTTAAGTTTAATTCATTCTGGCACCAAAAAGCAAAGATTTTACGAGCTCGGAAATTCCCTCGTAAAGGTCCCCTCACTATTTTGAAGTTAATTTCACCATGGTTTATCTGGCTTTCTCTTCGGGAACCTGGTGCAATTCATTTCAGGTTTACCTAGAGATTGAGCTCAAAATAAGTAAATACACAGCAATTTTATTAAAATCTTTTCTTTAAAAGCCATTTCTCTTTCAATGGCTATGTACTTAGTAGTACCTCACACAGAAAGTAGACAGGTTTGCAAAATTTTCGACTTTTGACATCCTTCGAGTTTCTTTCACTTTTTGACATGGAAAAACGGTTCTGGAATATCGAAGCACACATATTCGTGATCAGCATGAAAAGCTCTATTCAATTATGTATAATAAATGAAAAAAGATTTTTGTTCTGTTTTCCACCTAATATACGCGTGTCTTCACTGGAAAGCG